TTTGATGTAGTAAACTAAGTAAACCAGAACATCTTTCAGGACAGCATGAGGGTATAAAGCATGAAGAGAAGTTTATTCAGACTGCAGGCAGCAAAAGCTGAGACTGCTCTAGCTGTACTGCAGACTACAACTGTTCCCTAAGTGAGGCACTCCCTGCAAAGACATCACCAAGAGAGGTCATTAGTCTGCCAGGCATTTGGATACACAAGACATGCCCAGAAATAGATGGGAGGAAGACATAAACATCTTTTTTTTTCCCCATGATATACATGAATGAGTATTTCACTGTCATTCTGGACATGAGCCTCCATGCAACCTTTGCTAAACCTGTCTGTTGTGTTTAGTGATAACCTGTTTCAACAATAGTTAGGGGGAAAACAGGAAAAAAAAAGGGAGAAGCTCCTTTGCTGATACCACCAGAAATAAAGATGGGAGGAAGACATAAACATCCTTTTTTTTTCCCCATGATATACATGAATGAGTATTTCACTGTCATTCTGGACATGAGCCTCCATGCAACCTTTGCTAAACCTGTCTGTTGTGTTCAGTCATAACCTGTTTCAACAATAGTTAGGGGGAAAAAAGGAAAAAAAAAGGGAGAAGCTCCTTTGCTGATACCACAAGCAGAGGCAGTCATAGGCAAACCTCTGGATTTCTTCCCAAACTTGTCAGGGTGAACTGGCAGCCCTGTTGATGGTACTTATTTATGCCTAATTAACATGTTGGAACAGCAAAGCTGTGAAGCTGCTGCTGAAAAACATCAATCACAGTTTTATCTTTATGGCTGCAAGCTTTAAGAGTGGGTTTCTCTATCCCCTGAGCTGACAAACACTTTGACAAGTGACTCCTTCAAACCTCATAAAACACTGACCCTCATAAGAAACTTGACCCTCAGAATGTAAAGATGACTCAAATATCCTACAAGTGTTCTTTCATCCCCCACTCACACATTTTGATGAGGATTTTTGGGGTTTCTTTGGTCACCCCTCTGTTTTTTCCAATGGCTTTTCTAGGAGATGGGACTTTTTGAGAAGCAGGATTTAACTTTTCAAGATCTGAATCTATTGATGAGAAAAAAAAGAGACAAAATTCAAGAAGTGGCTTCTGGCTTAGGATGCCAGCTGGCACAGCAGTATTTTGTTTGCTCATCAAAAATCAGAATGAGGCAGATGTTGTCAATTATGGAGCTATTAGAGCTGCCAGAGTATTAAGTTAGTTTATGAAATTCAGGAACAACTCTAAACACAGCATAATGTATTTCAGAGACAAGAACCTCTCCAGAGGAAGAGGATCTTCCCAGCAAAGCAAGCCAGCTTGCTGTTACAAGAATAAAGGAAAGCAGCACGTGCTTTCTCCTCATCTTTGTCAAAAAAAGGGAGTATTTCAAAAGGATGGCAGCCCCAGCACAAGAGCAGAGAAGCAAATTGAGCAGGCACTGGCATCCCAAGACTGGAGAACAGAGCAGACAGTGGAAAAACAGGTTCACAATATTCTGAAAGGTAAGAGGCATAAGCTAGAAAAGCTCAGAATTACTTTTTATCTGTGGAAGACACCTAAAATGAGCTAACTGGGATTCCATTTGGGAGTCAAGTCAGATGAGTTCACTAGTGTCATCATAAAGATACTGCTCACCACTAGTGGAAGAATAAGACTTTTTTTATTCAGATTTAAAAGCTCAATCTCTGTCATCTGCATGACTGACACTGCACTAGCCTGTGCTGGAACATGCTGCTTGCTGTCAGCATGTTATCTTCTTGTTTGCTTTCCAGAACTGCTTTGTGCACAATATGAAAACATTTTGCTACATGGGCTGCCCACACTTGACAAATTATCTCCCTGCCTTGATGTTCTCTGTCTGCTGCTTCCAACCCCTCTCCAATCTGCAACAGGAGCCACCTCAGGACTGAGCCCACCTGCTCTGTTTGTACCTGTGGAGCACCATGGAGTCCTGACCCATGCCTGAGTCCATGAGCACAGACAATCCACAGCAAGACTGACTTGATAGATACACAAACCACTTGTCCAGTCCCACCTCAAGTCTAGATTTTTGGAAAACACCATTTACAACAGCTTGAAAGCAACAGGAAGTTTTAACTTGCTTTCTCTGTAATGTTTTAACAATCTCATTTAGCTGTTCTCCCAGAGAGTATTCAACTTGCACACTTTGTGCAAGGAATGTAAAAAATACCAAAAACATCATTTAATCCCTAACATCCATGTTACTCATTTCTACCCATGACTGCACTAATGGAGTGTTGCAAAATGCTCAAGAAAATGACCCTTACCTACATTTTCAAACATCTGGAGACCCTTCCCCATCAGTAGAGCCTATGGTTCATTGTGCAGCTAGAATAAAAGTGCTTGCTCATGAACCAGCAAGGAAAAAAATCCACAAAGCAATGCAGAAAATAAGAAAAATGTTTCTCACTGCTGGAAAACAAATAGCAGTGCCCTGAAGCAAAGCCTGATGCATCTGAGAAGATTACTGAAAGTGTTAAACTGGGTTTTTCAAGAAGACAGCAGACCAGCAGCACTGGCACAGACTATTTGGAACTAAGCAGAGCCAGCTCTCTGCAAAGATCTACCTTAAGTTCTGATAGTGTTCCATTAAGTTACTTTCACAAGAAAGGCCTAAGATTATTTAGGGTTCATTTATTTTGGCATTTCTGTTCAGATCAGATATGCATTTCTGAAGTACAACTCCAGTCACTTCTTAGGACAGTTTTGTTGGCACCACAGAATGCTCTTGGATCACCATCTGGATTCCTTCTGGCTTCCACTAAACTGAAAGATGGGATTTAGATGCACCTTAGCCACAAACAGGCACCTACTCCAGGTGACCAAACTAGAGGCAGTCCAAATAAGACAGAAAACCCTGAAATAGGTGCAGGGTTGATATCAAGTTCTCCATACCTCAGTCTACAGATCCACTCCTCTCAATCCACTTGCTAATAGAAGACACAGACTCAGTATTTTTATTTCTATAAAGTTATTTTCTTTCAAACACAGTAATTTGTTTCAAACTGATGCTTTCTGCTGTATTTTAATAGAATTATTTCAGCTACAAGGCTGAGCAGTGGTTCAGTGGCCATTCTTATGTCCATAGCCTATGCAATTCACCACATATACTGACAAAACCCTCACTCTCAGAGTACATTTACATGAAAAACTAAGCAGAAAAGCATTAAAGCTACTTACAGATTAGTAATTTACACAACACACAGTAAGCTGCTTCTGGAATTCATCCACATGACATCCAACAGCAGTCTTGGCAGTCACCCTGGTGTCACCTGGCTCACTCACCACACCAAGTGTACCCACTTCCCTGAAGGTGCACATGGTCAGAGTAACCCAAATGCTCCACCCACTGCCAACAACCTCTTCCCAGCAGACAGCACATTGCAGGAAAAAAAAAAGACTTCAAGGAATTCAGGATGCAAAGTAGTAGGACTAGTAAAGACTAGGCTTCCAAAAATGACAGGATTTTGAAAGTTAGGTAATAACAGGTCTGGCCTAGAAATGTGCACTGGTTGTATTTCACTGGTCTGGAGGAAAATAACCTAAAATTCTGTTGTGGATACACAGAAGCACTTACAAGTACTGAAAACACCTGCATGTGATTTCTACAGTTGAATCCAATTTGGAGAAGAGTAATTTCTGGTAAGAAATTACTGTTGATGATTACAATAAAGGACTAGAAAAAGCAGCCAGAAGCAATCATTTTATCAGTTACATTACCAAGTACATTCACTAGATAAATATTACAGCTGCACTTAAGAGGAAGCTGAGGGCAGAGAGCATGAAGAAAAAATAAAAGAAAGCCTGAAGGGGAGCACCAAGAACAACTTACTCTTTGATTGACTCTTGGCTAAAAACATTAAAATGAAAAATGTTCCTAATGTGTCTTATCCTTCAAAGATGAAGTAGCCAAATCATTCTGCAGGCTGTGAAAGAAACATTAACTGAACATTTAAAGTAGTTTATCAAAGAGCTGAGGATTGCTTCAGTGTCACTTACCCTTGCATTAAATAAGGGAGGTGGTGGCTGGGAGCAGGATCACTCTGTGCTTGGGGAGGATTCCGATGCCTCACTCCATCTGCACTAGAGTTCAAAGATGTAGATGAAGCTTCTTGGTTTGTGGGTGAGGCAGCTGTTGATCCAGAATGGTCTAAATTCTTAAAAAGAAATAAAATTGAGGTTGGGGATTCTTTCTGCCACAGTTACAAGACTTACTACAGTGTCTTAAACTCTTTGCTTCAATGCTTTGTCTCGTGTTTTGTTGAGAATATAAGCACCAGGCAAATCTGCTGGGGTTTTACTGGTTCTGGCAAGCCTTTAGTGAAAACAAATTCCAAATTGCACTCAGGTGCACCTTTAAAAAAAAAAAAGTGAAGTTTTCAGAACAACTCAACACTTGATAGGTCCCAGAGAAAACCACAAGTCACTGGGAATCAGTTTCAAAAAGCTGAACCAAACTAAAGCTTAATCAAAAGAATGTTTCACAGCAGCAAAACTTCTAGGAGCTCTTGTTAACAAAAGTAACTACAACCTCAGGGTACAACTTGATGTTCATGAGACAACAGTGCCTTAAAATACCACTTCTCTATCCTTGCCTTCAGCTTCCCCTTCTTCTCATCATCACCCTCTTCATGTGCTGGCTGCCCAGTGCAAACCACTGTGCTCCCTGCTGGGGAAGGACCAGGGGTGCCAAGAAGGAAGCAGCAAGAAATTACTTGGGCTCCCAAAAACACACCTAAAGCCAGCGTGGCAGACCTTCAATGCTTTCCAAGATCAATACACAGCCCTGGAAGGAGGACAAGAGCTGGCTCTCCTGGGTTATTTGTCACTGTAACAAGACTATAATTTGGCCATTCAGATGCATTGTTTTCGTTTTAATAAATCCCCAAATCCTGTTTCTAAGCATTACTGGAATGTTTACTCAGTAGAAAATCCTCTTCAACTTTGACAATTCAGGAAGTGAGGAGGTGCAATTACTTAAGACATCCATATCACATTTGCCCTACAAAGGAAAACAAGAAAAATCTACCACTAGACAGTGGGGGGAAAAGAAAAATAAAAACCAAATGGAAGAACAAAGGCCATTCAAGATTTGGGCTTAGGTTGCTTCCTTCCAAGTATTATGAACTCAACACTGTGCATAGGGACAGCCATGGCAGGGGGTTGGAACTAGGTGATCTTTAGGGCCACTTCCAACTCAAATATTCTACAGTTCTATGAATACAGTTGTTTAAATCCATTTACAACTGATCTACACAGCAACAAAACAGTCACAGCAGAGGCCTCCTGCATTCTACTCACAAACAAAGCCTTTGAAAAGATGAAGTAAGCACTGCCCACACTTTACTGAGCATTAAACTCCTTGTGTTTCTGACTGCCAGCCTGCAACAGTCCCCCACCAACAGAAGGGTGTGGACAAACAGTCTGTTACTGGAAGGGAACTTACATAGGCTGAGCATCAACACAGCACAGAAGAAAAGCACCTACAGCAGCACTGTGCACATTCCTCACTGACTACCCCTCAAAGGTCACACAGTGACACTGCCAGCTCTGGAGAAAACCAGAGAACTACAGGAGTGACAACCCAGTCACCAACAGAAAGAGGAACTGCACTTCTGTTTGAAACTGAGCACAACCAAAGGACATCAGTTTTGGAGGGTGTGAAGATGGGAAGGCTCAAAACACCCTAAACAACAGTGTCCTGTAAACAGTCTTACAGAGACTACATCTACCTTGAAGCTACTACATCAGTACTGGCCAATTCCTGTCAGGCAGAATGAATGCTGGCCAAGCTCACAAGGGCAGGAGTTTGACAGGTCTCTCTTCTACAGCACAAATTTTCACAAAATACTTTCACAAAGTTTAGGGTTTTTTTTTTTAAAAAAAAAATAAATCTGAATACACTACTCAATTTCTGCCAAAGATATGGGGAATATGGAGAGAAAGGAAAAATGTGCTTTTTGATAGAGTGTTAGAAAGAAGCTTTGAAAAAGCAGAGCTTTATCATCTAATAAACATAAGTGTGTTACAATCTGGGAAAAGCTCACCTTTATTTCAATAAAATCACACTCTTAAGTAATCAAGCCTAATTGTACAAATTCACACAGCATGCTCTACTTTCACCACACTATTTTACAGTCAGATTTTTAAAAACTCCAAAGAGAAATTCCTGGAAAGCTTCCCCAGAGTAGAAGAAATGCATGTTCTGTGCATGGAAACAACTCACTGAGCTACTGCTGGAGGTTGAAGCTCCGGGACCTTCTCTACTGGTGCTGGGTTTTGGAGAACTTGGGGGTGTCCGGGAAGCACATACCAGATGAACCATATGATATTCATCTTGCTAAAAATTAAAGAGATTGAAGAGCTAAAGTAACAATATTTAGGAAATTTAAAAGCATAAACTGTCTTTAAAAATCTACTTTCAAAGCTGCATTTGCAATCAGTAAAGAAACACAAAATGGAGAGCCCCCAAAGCAAAATTTGAGCCTAGCACAAGCCCACTGCTTTACAACTGTTTTCTTAGCAGCTGTCCACAATAATATATTGAATATTCACTTAAATTGCTTAAACTTACATTCAACAAAGACATCAGGACAAATGAATAATGGAGGTGCTGGTATTTCACAAGCTGAGGTAAGAAAAACATACCAGCCACTCCCTCCACCTCACCTGAAGAGCCCCTGCAGATATTCCACAGTCAGGGAATGTTGTTTGCAGCACTAGATGGGACTTAAAATCATTAAGGTTGGAAAAGACCTCCAAAATCATCAAGTCCAACTGCAGGGACATGAGAATCCCTAGAAATTTGGAAGTGAGGGATTGAATGAGTGGCACCACTTGAAGCCACATCAGCATGCAAGTCAGCAGGCCAGGACAGTTCTTCATGAACATGCTTTGTGAAGGTAACATTCATGGTGTGGATCCCCAACAACTTCAGTCCCAAGCTGTTCCACTGTGCCAACCAAAACCACCCCATGAGATCATCATGCCTGAGCTAACATGGCCATAGCAACCAGGACAGCTATGGCCATATCTTTAAACTGCACCCTACAGCTTCCTCAGGAACCACATTTTAAACAAGAAAACCATCAACTCCTCCCCATCCTCTTCTGCAATCAGCATGGTGCAGTCAAGCTGCAGTTTTTGATGAGATGACATTTAGAAATACCAAGATTGGAGGAGGTTTTTTAAGCTATATTAAAATTGTTGACACATTTTATCATAAATAATCTCTAGGAATAAAGAACCACATCAGAAGCTTTTAACCTAACTCGTTACCTGCTTTCTAGATGAGAATTTATGCCACTTGGAAAGGCAGAGGAAGCTGGACACATTACTTGTAAGCTTACAGTGTAGAGCTTTATCCAATCTGATAAATCTGATAGTTAATTGCAATGTATTTCTGTTTTCCAGAATGAGTTGGGCACTGCTATGCTTGAAGAGTGCCACAACTTCCAGCCTCAGGGGGGTTTATATCAGCAAAGTTACAATACTCAGTATCAAAGAGCAAGTATTAGGGAGCTAAATGATGAGATGTAGTAAATTCTTAGGTTATGTTAGGTATTTATAACTGAGCAAACCAAAATAACATGGCAATGAGATTGCATTTACAAGAAATAGTTTCTTCCCCAAAAGCTCCTGAGAGCTCCTGTGTTTCCTACACCCAGTCTGCTGTAAGCAGGCCAAGTGCATTCAGAGGATCCAGGCTTCATTTCTGCCCTTCACAAGCAGAACTAGGCTTGGAGCTCAGTGAGAGAAGCACTTCCATGAAATTTTCAGTGTATGTACAGGACACACACTGCTTGGCAACAGCTCCAGCTTTCTAGTAAACCTACACATAGTAAATTTAAATCATTTTTGGGGTAAGCAGTGAAATCCAATTTAATTAAATCTATTTCACAATGGAGATGATGAAGTAAGAACACTTGCACTGGGTTCTCAACACTGAAGTTCAGTTGTCCCCCTTTCACTAAAGCATTAATTCTCCTTCACAAGCTTCCTGGAATGTTAAACCCCAGAACACAACCCACCCACTCTTGAAGTTTGTATATTGATTTTTACCTCTAAGTATTACAAAAAAATGTGTCATTGCCAACACCCAGGCACTGTATGACAAAGCTTACTTGTTTCACAGCATTAAATACTGTGTAATTGTTTAATGATCCAAAATAGTTTCCAAAGAGAGCCATGGATGTATCCTGATCTGTTTACAAGGAGTTTAAAGACTTACCCAACTTAATGTTTTCTGTTACCATCAAAACTGAAATGAAATTTTAATAATCTGCCTTAAATATTTTCTTAATTTACACAGTTTTAAGAACTTCACTAACTGAATGAAATCCCTTTTCCTGGCTAGCATCAATTTGAATCAATTTGAGATCCAAGTGCATGTATTTCAAGATTTCCTACATGACATGTATTCAGGATTTGGATTCCATTTAAATGTTGGCTGAAATATCCAAAGTTAGATGAGTAAAATTTTCTGAAATGAAACAGCAGAATAAAAAAAAAATAAGAAAATGGAAGAATCAACAAACTTTTAAACATCACCAGGAATAGTTAATAGCTGAGAAATACCAGATATAAGGAAGAGGTTTTTTTACACTGAGGGTGGTGAGCCCCTGGCCCAGGCTGCCCAGAGAGGTGGCAGAAGCCCCATCCCTGGAACCATCCCAGGTGAGGCTGGATGGGGCTCTGAAGGTCACCCCACATGACATCACTTGTTTGGGACTCACACCACCTCCTCTTCTCCCACCAACTGGAAATGTGCCTCAAACCACAAGTACCACATCCCTACATGGATTTTCCAGAATGCATCAACGTTACGTGGTTACATCTCCCAGGACAACACAAGGAAAATTTGAAGCTAAGTGACATAAATCTCAATCCCTATTTCCCAAAAAAGGGGGGGTTGATCAAATATCATATGGTGTGGATATAAAGCTTACTTTTCTGAGAACATCTTTCAGCTGCAGATGATCAGGAAGCAGTCTGCCAGAATACACCAGTCTCTGATCCTTTGTAGACTAGGAGATGGGACAAAGAAAGGAATTTAGCTTTTTCCTGCTCTACAGATATACAGCTGGAGAGAACATTTGCAGATGAGAAAATCCTTAACAGTTCCAACCACCAACAGACAGCCTTAAAAACATTTCTGAGCCTTCACAAGTCCAGTGTGCACATTAATTCTGAAAAAGAAATCTGCTATTATGCACTCAGCAAGAGTGCTGTAACAATTAGCAACACTTAAGTGGCAAATGCTGCTCAGTGAATTATCAAGAGTATCCAAAAATTCCTTTCTTTTAAAGAAGATTTTAAAGATTTGCTCTGTACCCTACTCCCACTGCCAGGCACTCGCTGAAAAAGTACGTGCAGAAGTGGCTGGGGCAAAGAAAAAACAAAACCAAAACAAAAAGCAGTTAGAATGATGGAATGATAATTTAGAAGGGCACAAAATTTCAACACGGAATTTTTGTTGTTAGCTCCTGCTTCCATCCCCACCTCCTAAGCAAAAATAGTATTAGATTTTAAAAAAAAAAAAAATAACAATCACAAGAGGAAAAAAGGAGAAAAGCATTAAAAAACATGTGGCAGCAAAAGGAATTCTTCAAACTTTGGTAAGCCTTTGTGCCTGTTCTTACACCTCCAGAGTTTAAAATTCCTTAGTAATGACAACGATAAACACTTATTTAAAGAAAGGATACATTATTCACAAGGTCATAACTTTTTAACTGTTCTACATGGAAGAGATAATGACTTATTTCAAAAGAAAGCTATTTAAGGTGCCAATGTCCAGCACACTAAAGCACTGGGCAGGTTACTTGGTTAAATAAAAAACCCCAACCCCACTCGATTCAGTTCATGCTGTCAGAAAGTTTTCAATAAAAGCACACATTAAACCTAAGAAACTTTTGCTTTAACTGTTTTTCCTTTTCCTCATTTCACCCTGGCCATTCATGATTAAATCCATGTCTTTAAGAAATAAAAGCATAACCTGCCACATATAACACAGAACTGTTTAGAAACATTTTTCATTGCTGGCATGCTACACTATTTTTGTAAGCCTCACAGTACAGGGGGAAAAAAGTCTCAGAAACCTTGAGCTGGGTCCTGAGATAGATTAGCTGGAGATTAACTACAACAGATAAGCAACTAAAACAGAACAGGCAAAATACAGTAACAAAAAAAAACCCCAAACTAACCAACAGAGCAAGGGAGTGTTTTTTTGCCTGTCCCACTCATCACACAGCTTTCTACACGGTCAAATGCAGATTTTTCTCTTCAGTGCCTCAAGTATGAGCCTTCCCTCGACCCCACCTAATTAAGTACCTCCTCAAACATTTCACAGGTAACACTAGTTGGTTTTTTAATGCAAATACTCTACAGAGAAGAAACTGCTCGATTAAAATGACCCCTCAAAGCTGGCTACTACATACTTTCAGTGCTATTCCCAGCTCCCTGCAAAGCCACAGAAGAAAAGGCTACGTGGATGTTGAGCATTATCAACCCTGTTAAGCTAGAGACATTAATGGGGGAAGATTTAAACCCCAAACTCCTCCCTGCATCATTTAAATACCTAACTGTGCACTACAGGATCATCACTCAGTTCTCAGGGTGAAAGTCCTCCTGGAACTCTGAAATGGGAGGGGAGGGTTTAAAAGCAGATGGAAAAAGAGGTGATAAATGTGAAAACACAGGGCTTCACACGTGCCAAAGTAAATGGAAAAGGCATTCGAGTCATCCTCTGCCAGAGGGGGATCACGACCGTGCCTCCTGCTTCAAGGCACAGCCTGCTCACTGCTAGCCCAAACACTCAGCTGTGATGGAAAAACACTTTTATTAAAAAAAACCCCAAAATCATTAGCTTTTCAAAAGCAAGCAAACCGCATCGGATAAAACAATCCCAGAACCTAAAGTTTAGACTGAGATGGAAGCCACTTTTCAGCTCATAAACCAAAAAGAAGTATTTAAAATTAAGAATTCGACAGCTAGTGGGTTTTATTTTTCTTCAGTTTTTCAAACAAAACTCCTTCTCCAAAGCTTAGTCCAAATGAGCTACACCCAGCACGTTACCAAACCCACCCAAGCTGAGCTTAGTTCTTCTTTAGAACTCATCTCTGAGCTCCTCTGGTCCTGCTACAATATTTTGGTCACTCAGCCTCCCTCCTGCTCATAAAAATCCAACCACAACGTGGTAGGTGACAGGGACTACAGGAAATGAGCAGTTCAATTAAATGTTCATGGGTGTAATCACTGCAGTGGTTAATGCACCGAATGATTGAGGCATTCAGGTTGATTTTCCAAGTTTTGGTTTCTTAAATAAACATTTCATTTAGGGATGCTGTAATTGCAGTACTCTAGCTATGAAAAATTGGCCCAGTCGAGGGGGGAAAAAAAAAATCTATTGATGAATGTGAACCTTAGTACAGATCCATAAACTAATTCAAGCCTGTTTTAAACCCATTTAGCTTATTTTAGTAAGTATACCAATTCATTAACTACAAAAAATCTGCCTACACTTGGAATTTTACATATTTAGCCAATTTTTTACACAAATTAAGCTAGAAAAATCTCAAACAACACTGCCTCAAGGCTTAACTTCTCATTTGCCTGTTTGAACCACCTCATTTTCAGAAGCTATATCCTTAATACGTTGTAAATTTAATGACAGCATTTAGAGTTATCATCAGCCTGATTAATTTATAGATGCCTACAGGAGAATGTGGTACAAGCCACACATGAAAAGTTGAAAGTCTGTGCCTAGCAGTGAGAGCAAATGATTTCTATTTTACACCACCAGCCTCAAGAAGTCTGCAGTACCTGTGTAAAGCATCTGTCTTGTGATGGACTCTCACACTCCTAAAATAGCCTTGGAACAGAAATTATTTGCAGGAACTGTAACACTCTGGGAATGTAGAAATTGGATCAACAAGCCTTTGACACTGATCTGGTTTTAAAAACACTCAAAAAAAAAAGCAAGAGGAGCTCCTAAAAGCACAAAGATTTTTACCAATTTAAAAAAAAAAAGCAGTAATGCTCAACATAAAAAAAAATCAAGCTAAAAATACACTTTGTGATTTTACTATACATAGGAGACATTCATTAAACACCCTTCTCTGCTCCCATGTTGTTACTGTAATTTGAAGAGTTCTATGAAATATCGTGTTCAATTAATATTTTAATTGCAAGTAAAGTCAATCTAAATGAAATTGGAATCGCTGAGATAATTTTCATTAAAGAAAACTCCTCATCCTTTCATCCAGAAAAACTTCAGGGATTCTAAACTGGTCATTTCAACAAGGAGAGGCACGTTGAGGAATCGAGTTTCAACAGAAGAAAGATGTTCCAGAAAACTGAAATTTAATATCACACTCGTGGTTAAAACCTACAAAAGCTGCAACATAAAACCCCTCTTGTTTGTCAAGGGTTCCTCCTAGAAGCCAAATTTCACAGGATCATAAGATGAGTCAAAAAGCAAGTGTTTAAACACAAAAATGTCAAAGGAGAGGCTCCCAGCGAGGAGGAAGCAGCAGCAATCAGCTGAAGTTGTGTTTTGTTTCTGCTCTCAGCAGAGAGCATTACTCACAGCAAGAACTAAACCCACAAACTCTCAAACCCTGCTTAGCAGATCTCCACCTGCGCAGCCCAAATTGTTGACTGCTTTTCTTCTTCTTTCTCCAAAAAGCAGAAACCCCCTTGGAGACACAAAGCTACTATTTAACCTCCCCCGGTAAGTCTCTTTTCCTAGGTGAATACTGATAATTTACACAACAAATGCAATCTTTGCTGTTTCCTACAGCAAGGTCTAGGCCTCACATGCTGCTGCAGCATGGAGGCAAAGTCACTCCCTTCATACAGTTTTCTGGAACAAATTTTCAAATCTATTTTTTTATAGGATGGCCATTCTAAACAGGTACAGTATTACCTATTATCATCTGTATGTTTTTCACAGCCTCTTTTGAATTGCCAAGTTTGGAACCTACAGGAATTTACAAGTACACTGTATTTTTCTCAGGGAAGAAAAATAAGGTGTAGGGATTTATATCAAGTTTCAAAATACAGCCACAACTGTCATAGAAGTCCATAAAATGTCCAAGAGCAGGTTTTTTCAGCAGAACCTCAAAAAAGTGGTTATTCTAAGAGAGGAACAAAAGAAGTAAATAGTTCTGGAGATGGTTCAACTGCACATTTCAAATAATATTGTTGCTATCCCTGGAGACATTCAAGATCAGGCTTGATGGGGCTCTGAGCAACCTGATCTAGTTGGGGATGTCCCTGCTCCCTGCAGGGGGGTTGGACTAGATGACTTTTTGAGGTCCCTTCCAGCATCCTATAAAGATTATGAATAAACATCTGCTCCACACCTCAGTGAACTCACTAGACTGAGATAACTTCATCTGTATCAGTTATATTGTGACTACTTTAGACATAACTCTTCCATTTACAGGAATTTAAGTCACTTAACTGCGATATCTAAAATCTAGTTCCTCAAAAAGTTGAATGGAGCACTAATAAGCATCCTCAGCGACACCACCTTTCAGGATGCCACACCGTGACCTTCTTAAAGCATATAAAAGAGCAGCTATTTATACAGCCAACGTCCCTGACAGCAGATAGCCAGCCACCACCCTTACACGGGTCGCTTTTTGCCAGTAGGACTCCTGTTTGTTTTGGAGAGCACCTAAGGAAAATCCTTCACGGTCTGTCCACAAGTTAGTGCAGGACCAGTCCTAGCAGTGAGGAGCAAGGACTGGCCAACAACTCACCGGCTTACTGGGGTAGACTTTAGAGAGGTGAGACTTTAGCTTGCCCACAGTCCAGTCCAGAAAGCAGTTAATGGTCTGGTCGGTGTATTTCTGGTTGGGAGCCTTGATGATGAGGGTCACCGGGTGA